TAAGGAAGCACATTCCTGTCTTTTCACGTGTTGAACCTCCTCCAGTCGGCCGTGTGAAAGGACCAGATGCCCCTCTCCGTGCTGGCAGATGGAGGGATTGTTTCCAGAGTTTAATGAAGGGAGGCTGCTGGAGGCTTAGCCCAGTTACCTTGGTCATTGATATGCTCTCGAGGCGTCCACTGGCATTGTTTGGTGTCAATAGAAGGGACGGGCCCTGAAGCTGGTTGGTGGGACTCCTGGCAGACTGCTTTTTTTAGCGAAGCTGAACAGTTGGAGGGTTTTAGGACCTCCGTGCTGTAACGGGCAGGATAAAGAAGGGTGTGATGGGACGGAGGTGTGACGTGTCTGATGGGGCAGGAATGGAGTCTACAGGGAGGGGCGATGGCGTCTCCTTTCAAAGGCCAATCAAAGAAAGCCGATGGCTTTTGTTGTGCTTACAGTAACAGAAAAGGTCACATGATAACAAAGCACAGCAGACGTGGTCGTTTCAGATGTCAGCATCACTAATGTGACTTTTCTGTCACGCGTTATGATTTCGTTGCATGTGAGGACTGTCCGGGTCACATGATTGGTAACCTCAGACTGTAACCACGTGGCACAAGGAGCTCTGCAGTTTGGGCCTTTTTATTAGACAAAGGGCAGCTGCTGGATCGACTCTGACCTTTGACCTCTGTGTTGGCTTTATCTGAGCGAGTGCTGTGATGAGTAAGGCTTTTATAGGAGGAGTTTATAAAACGTTAAAGCGGAGGGAGGAGGCTTTTTGTTGTTTTCTTCTTAAACGAGTCCATGTTTGGTTCTGTGGGAATGAAAAGCGGAGCCTTGAACAGAAATCTTATCCCATATTTCTTTCCACTGAATCCATTTGGTTGGTTTGGCTGTTATCCATATCCGGCTGCTTATCAGCTGTTGCACATTAGGCCCAAAACACACCAGTCTGTGAATCACTGATGGAGGACAAAATGGGGATCTGTTAACAGGCTGTAAAATGGCTGGTTGTGATTCTTCTGTCTGTAAACGATCTTAAAAAAACTCTCGGGACTTCCACTCTTCAGCTTTCACCGAGTTTTCCAGGCCGTTTGCAGGCGTTTGCGGCCTCCCCCCGAACCGCAGCGAGCTCTGCTGTAAAGCACGTAGCCGGACTTTGTGTCGCTGAAGCTCATTCAGGCTGTTTGTAATGAACACATTCAGCTTGATGCGAAGGAACAATGATAATCTGTCCACTCAGGCTGTTTGTGGCAGTGTTTCCGAGCAGATAAAGGCTGCTTTCAATTAACCCTTTAAGACCTACCATAGAACCAAGTCCGCCAGAGCTTATATTATATGTTTACATGCTGTGGAGCCATTTTTGGGAGCATTT